CAATGTACTTCTGTCTCAAAAAGATGAGTTATCTCTTGAGCTTGTTTTATTTGGCTGACAATAAGGGGACCCTGAGCTTGGTCAACAGTCTGTCATCAAAGTTATAGGTACACAATTCACAACTGAAAAATTCAGTCCGTTTCTTTAACAATATTTAGAGACCTCTGCTAACTTAAGTAGATGGTATTTTTCAAAAAGCATAATTTGCCAGTTAACCACAATAATATACAAGACTTCTAAATGTTGCTTGCATGAGGAACAGGAATTGTGTTGGTATGTTAGCATCAGTATCAACTTACCACTGCTTCCACTGTTTGTAAAGGCAGTAAGACATTAATTTCTTATAGTTAATATATCTACAGAAATGGAGAATTCATCCTTGTTAATAAAATGTATTTTGATGATCTTAACTCTCACAGATTATTAACCTGCAAATGGGAAAAAAAAAAAAAAGTGCTTTCTTGTGATGGGTAGAATTACTATATAAGAATCGTTGATCCATGACTTTCAAGTTTAGACACAGTTATTAGATCATTCAGTCTAGTCTGCTATGTAGAGAAACCAACAGAAGTCCATTCGTAGCTTGCTGCTGTGGTTAATCACTGTCATTTGAGCCTAATTTCTCATTTAAAACTGCAGGGCTTTTACACTCAGCGTTACTTCTTACTTTTTTTCACTACTAGATTAGAGTCATGTAGTACTTGTTATTTTCTCCCTGTGCAAGCAATTATAAACCATAATCAAGCTTTTTAAGTCTCTCACAGTAAGATATCAGCTTCCGTCCTTTGAATTATTCTTCTGAAGAGCCCTTAACAAATACATTAAATTACGTACACGTGGATCTAAATATTACTCAAGAGTACACAAATTGACCTTTCAAAGGGGTATTGATTATGGCATTTACAAAAGTATATGCTTATACCTTTCAAGGGTATCACTAAAAGTTAATGAAGCTATTCCTACTATGTGAGGGACTCCAGTGACAGACTAGCTAGACACAAGTAGAAAAACGTTACCATAGACCATGCCTGTGACCTATGTTTCTCTTGCCCCTCTGAACTAGGATTCATTAATTCAACTTCCTAACATCCTATATGTCTAAATCAAGAGTGATCTCCACAAAATAATTGTTGGAATAGTCTATGGAAAAAAAAAAAAATAAAAGCACCAAACCAAGGAAAAGACATTTTAAAAAATAGCAGCTATTACACGGCTTCTCAAGCTAGTTTAGGAAGATACGCTCTGGAATATGGGGGCTTTCCACTTCCACCCAGAATCTGAAATCCAAAATGGGTTTTAGTATTTAGATTTCTTTTTAACAGTCTATCTTCCCCAGCCCCCATCCAGTTTCCTGTGTACAATATGATTTTTTTCCCCCCATTTTAATTTCCTCCAATCTGTAATGAGTGTAAAGAAGTGCCACTCATGATCACCACTGTAAAACATACCACAAAACTTTACCACAATACCTTATACATTTATTCTGCAGATCTTTCAAGAGGAATAAATGCCAGAGGATCATCTCTGATTTCTTGAACTACACTTCCTTTATTCTCTAAGTCTTGGAGATACTCTATTTCTGATGTAACATAGTTTTTAAGTGAATAAAGTCACACACACTTCTCTTTATTAATATAATGTAAGAGAAAATAATCACTGGAATACTTTAAATATCTAAGAAAAATTTCTATGCAAACTATTTCAAGTTAGAGTCTCATGTGCTGGAAAAAAGTGAAACTTATCCTAAACAGAATCAGTTTAATTTTCACATGTGGATGACTCTGATTAGTTAGATGATTTCCAATATGCACATATGCAGCATTCACTATAGTTTATACTTATTTTTCTCATTTTCTTTCAAGCCTGTAATTTACTATCCTGAAAGGTTCACTGAATTTTTAAAACAGTAAGTATTTATACTGATATGAACAATGCAAATGATTTAGTAAAAGTCCCAAGTCTGTAAATGTATGTTTAGCTGTGCAATTCTGTAGCAGTCTTAAGTCTCTGAAGCAAATCTTAATCCATGGATTTCTGAACTGGTAATTGCATTATCAAAAAAATGAACTTAAAGACAAATTATTTATATATATATATATATATATGCTTAATAAGAGTAGTGAACTCTGTGAGATGGAGTCTGCATATTTCCTCTAAGTAAAAACACAGAAGAGGTACACTAAGAAACCCCAACTCTTAATAAAAGAATGAAGAAGCAAGGCAATTTATCAAATGAATAAAAACTGTTTCATCTTTGAGATGTTTAGGGCATCAGGATCTTTTACAAACAGGTCAACAGCAATAGCACAAGTTATCACTTTTTTGCTGTAGAAGACAATGAACTATTGAGCTCATAGGTTGCTGCTCGAGTAAGCATTTGGTGCAATTCACTATATTTTGCATAAAAAGGACAATAAAAAAAATCAGTCTATGGCGGTCAGTAAAAAAAAATAATTCCCCTTTTCTTTACAGAGGGGCAAGCACTTCATTTCAGGTGAAAACTTACTTTCTTGATTCTAAGTTTCAGTAAGAACAGAAAAAAGATCATTTAATATATTTTATACCAAATGGTTCTAGGCATAAAGAACTGGTTAAGTGTTAACTTTGCAAAAGGAGAAAAACTCAGCTCCAAGGACTGATTTACATTTGATTTCTCTCAGGGTAGTAAGATCAGAACCTTGTTTAGTCAGGCATTCTAGCTCAGGAACTTTCCATCCTGAAAGAACATGAGTTATCCTGATTACTGGCTGAAGAGTCATAAGAAAATTTGTCATAAACCTTTATTAAATCTAAATTATTTTAATTTAATAATTTTCAAGTACATCTTTAACGGAAAAGTGGAAGCTTCCATTAAGTCTGTTGCCTAATTTGTTATTTTTAGGAATGTCGACATTTCATACTTTCTTAATACTTTCCCAGTGAGGAACCTAAAAAAGAACTACACAGCAAAGCAGCTTTATTTCTGCCCTTGGCTACAGTTTAAGCATTTTTAAAATCCAAGTTTGCTAGAGATGTTCTCTTGACTTGCAATTGTAGAGAAAACCTGCCTGAAGACAAAGGTCAATGCACTGCAAACCCATAGAAGTATCTGAGGCTGCACAAACATTTATCATCTTCACAATATGTGATTTAACACTAAATACCTTCAATAATTTCCATTACCAAAGGGGTTTTTCTCCCATTAACCAAATGCAGCTGTCTTAGACGATATTGCTGAGATTGTGAAAATAATTCTCATCCCCTTCATCCTATTAATCTTTTTCATAAAGTCAAAGATATTCTGATTCTTGTGCATTTATACTCAACTGTAAGAGTGATGAGGTTCTTGGACATAGGTGACCTGGAAATTCTACTACAAGTTGGGCCTTTTAACACACAATTGCAAACCCGCTACAAAATCTAACGGTAATACTAAAATAGTAAAAAAAGACTGAAAGGTCTGTGTGGAGAAATGGAAGTAGAACCATTCAAGGGCAGATCTGATCCTAGTTATCACCAATCATCATTTATATATTTTAACTTTGCATTTTGTTCTTAAAATTTCCAGTTCCTCTGCCCAGAAGGCTGAAGTTCCAACGTCAAAAGTATGCTCTGCAATATCATTTAGAAAAATGCATGACCTCAAGGTTTGTTCTAATGCACAGTGGTAGACTATTATTTCATACATTATGTGCCTAAGTGTGATGATACCCCCATATCAGGATAAACACGATTGAAAGACTGTGATGCAGACTGGACAATTCATCTGAAGCAGCAGGCTCATGTCCTTGCTCAAAACCTTGAAGTAAGCCAATGTTCATGTAGAACTTGTATCACAGAAGAAAGAATCAGGACTGTCTCACAGTTTAGGTTGAAGTCAACAACAGCACGGGCAGGATGCATGTATATACATGGCCTAAGTGAACAACAAAACTGTTTCACTCAACAAGAAATACACAGATCTCTTAATGACAATATAAACCAGCAGACTACAAGGCACAGAAACAGCCAATCCCTAAGTCTTCAGTGAAATCAAGCAAAGTACTTGAAAGACAAACAGCTGGTTACGCTACAGACAACCCCTTTGCATCCTAACAGTTGCTGTGTTAGGTCACTCATGACGATCTCAGACTAATTGCAGGATTTGCTAGATAGCTTTGATAGTCACGTGTTTAAATAAGTCACACTAGCAAAATATTTTAGTACTGACATTAAACAGCTCTGTTGTTCAAGACTCCAGAGGGGAAGGCTTGATACTTCACTCCTTTAACAGTTCATAGCACTCCTCAAATGAGGTTGTATTGGTAATCCTGGTGTCCAGTCCAAATTACAGCGAGTGAAATTGCATTCTGCTTATCTGAATTCCCCCCATAGTATCTATATACAATTTTTATACTTGGCTAACATTTAAAGTATTAGATGCTGTTCCACACCAGAGGTTCCTGCCTGTCAGTCTGAAGGGAATCATTACGATACATCTCTTGTGCTTATTTAAATGGTTTTGAATTTTTTTTTCCTTATATAAATAATTACTATTGCTTGCTGTGGAAAATAGAGTTGTAGTACAGTGAGACAATGGCAGGGAAACACTTTCCAGAATGTGAGATTAACTGATAAAATCACCTTAGACATTTGAAGGTTAAAAATACCGACTTTTTTACACTGTCAGGGTTTATGTATTAAAAATGGTTTCTTGTTCAAGACACTTTACTGGGGTTAACAGGAAAATTTAATTTTCTCCACATCCCCATGAATTTTAAAGTCATTCTTCTAACACCATATACTGACTATTGAAGTTATGAATATATGGCAAAGAGGAGGCATTTGGTGCAAAGCTATTAAGTGATACTGCTTATTTTCAAAATAAAACAGACACCCAAATTCTGCTTTTCTTGGGATGAACTTGAGATTCACTGAAGGAAAATGCATCTGATGGAAACACAACTGAGGAATGGGACACTCATACTTTGCAAGCAGAATTTAAGAACAAACCACAAAAAATTAAATTATCAGAATTTTATTTCTGTTACAAATTATCACAATCACAATTAATATAAAACAAAGCACTGAGGAAACATGACTGTTAGATATGAGATTTATCAAGGTGTAAAAGCCTCATCCAAGACTACTACTAGAAAACCTGTGACTGTCTATTAAACATTTCTATGCATCAAACACCAAGTGAAAGAGAATAAGCAGCGTAGTATAATTGACAGGGATTAAAACACCTTCACTTTATACAAGTTCCGGAAGGAAATGAAAGTTGGGAGTATCATTTCTACCCAAGTCTTATTTGAGTAGACCTGTTTACAATTAACTATTAAATAAAGCTTCAGCATAAAACACCAATCTTCATTTTAACTTATCCATGTCATTCATACATTAGACAAGCTATTTCCGAAGTCATGAGGATTCACATGCTCTCTTACACTTGCTGAATAAGGCTAAAAAGAGTCACTAAACAAACATCAGGTTGCATTATTGCTTCGTAACAGGAACTTTGATGAAAATTCTTTATTGAGGTCCAAATAAAACACTGCTGCATCACTAAACAAGTTTAAATACACAATTATTTTAAAAAGTGTATACCGTTATACACTTTAAGGCTTTAATACAAGAAATATTGAAAGGGATTTTCATACTCCGTAGCCCGTCTCATTGTTGTCTAGGCACACGGATAAGTACAATGCTCTAAGCAGTCCGTAATTAACATGGCAGAAGTTCCTGAAAAAGAGCAAAATATAATTTATTTGTATACATCCTGAGACTAGCAACTATGAATTCTCTGAAGACTGCCAGATTCTAAACAGTGGGATCTGGTAATTATGCGTAGAATAATGTATGTAGATTAGTGGAAACCATTGCAGAATCTGCTATCATTGAAATTCAGTGCTAATGTGATAAAAAGGTTCAATAAAGGCAAATTAATTATATGATTAATTATAATTAACATTACTTGTTTGACCAGTAACATATAGCAATTGACCAGTGTCAGAATACAAAACTCTACTAGAGTGGACAAGCATTTCTAGGTTAGTTTGTCACAAGAAAGGCTGCCGTCCACATTATTTTTTTAATTTAGAAACATTTTTAGATTATTTTTCCCTCTGTTCAAAATCTAATGAATTCATTTCAGAGATTACTCAAAAAACCCACCAAAAACAAAAACACAGAAATGCAATAGCAGAGTACAGTGCTAGTGCATGTTATTTCAGGAACCGTCAAGAGAATTGTGTAGTTTCTAAAAATATCTAATACCAGCTGTTTGAACTGATGTAGTTTGTTGTACACACATGTATAGGACACAAGAACTGATAAAACTTTTTTTGAAGGACATGAAAACACATTTTCTTAGAAACAAAATGTATCAATGTGGAGCACTGGAAGAAGGGAGACAATGGATGAGATGCATACAACTATTATCCTCAATATATACAGAATGTCTTAGATGTGTCAAATTTAGATCTTGCAACTCATTAAAAGAATAAAATTGGACTCAAATGGTTAACTTCTCCATCAAGGTGGGCCACATCTTAATGGGAACACCATAAGGGCACAGACTACTCCATCTGGTCAGATGCACATTTGGCACGTGCCCAGAACAATCACTTCTGACCACGGGATGGCTGTGCTCTTGGACAGGAGGGGAATTCCCTTTTAATTTACTCGTGTGACCAGCAACATCCAGTCCTACGACACCGTGTCATACAAAGGTGCATCCAAACAGCCTCTGTTTGGTTTGACAGGGAGACACTTTACCCCCCTCAAAGTAAAGCTGAAATATTTTAAAGGTTCATAGGCCTTCAGGGCAGAGTAGCAGAGAAGTGGCACAAATGCATGCTGATACATTCATCCTCCATACAGAAGGCACTAAGAAAAAAACGGCATAAGGAGATGGCTATTACAGAAGGTTGAATTCACTTCTAAATTTACTTATTTGTCTACTAGCCACCCTTGCTACTAGGTATTTTAGTTTCAACCCATGAAGTTTCATCATATAGGATAAAAGAAAACTGAATTTGCAAATGAAAACTTATGGTTTATGTAACTCATCATACTATGTGATTTAAAATGCATATAGAAATAGAGCTTTGGTCAATTCTATTATAAATGTTTTTAGAATATATTTATAGTTACATAGATTTTTTTTCTGGTAAAGTTTATATATATTTATCTAGTATACATGTTTTTAGATTTTATATATATTTATATATTAAAAAAATTTTGCAGTTCTAACAGCTGGTATCAAATTTTTGCCCTTTGAGCCCCAGAGGGCAGAAATCTTCCAAGCTAACCTTAAAAGGGTCCTTTGTTTTAAATCTTTAAAATACTCTCAAAAGTTAAAGACATTTGGTATCTAGAAAAAGTGCCTTTAACTCGTGAGAGCAGTCTCTTAAATTTACTGTGATATATGGAGGCAGTGCAACGCATGCAATATTTTGAAGTATAGAGCTCCAAGTCATGTCAAACTAAAGGCATCGAGATTGAGGTTAGCAGGAAGAATTATCATTCCAAGTAGGAAATAAAGAAAAAAAATCTGTTCTATTTAAAATATATGCAATCTAATCAAAAACACAGTTAAACTATTTCCTATTTTTTTTATACTAAGTTCTCCAGAAACAGGTGAGCTAGCTATTCTTCAGTTAATGTTTCTCAATGGACTTGCTCTCCTGTGTCAAAAACCAGTCTGCTCCTTGTGCTGAAATGCTTCACTTAGAAAATCATTCTACAAAATGCTTTCTTCAGCTTTGCAAAACCATTTTAGGCACGTTTGCTGACCAGATTAGTTTTAAATTCCCATTTGACCACTACTAGCATAAAACTACATTCATTTTCTTTCACCTTCCTCCACCCAGTGAAATACTTAATTGACTTAAATGTTGTCAAAACTATGTGTAACCTTCAATAAACAAATAGCCAGAGGACAGTGGCCACACACTGGGACATTTTAATGTTCCATTTAATGATAGTTTGAAAGTATACCTTTTCCCACCACAACTGAACTTTTGCTGGCCTCAACTCGGTTTCAGTAATAATTACATAAATTAAGGCCTTGTGTATAAAGAATTAAGGACCTGATCAAAACCTCCATTCTTTATCTAATAATTTCACGGATGAGTGAAGATACCTACCAAAGCATCAGACAATTAAGGTTTTTGTTCTCTTGGCTGTCCAAGGAGGTGGGTTTCCTGACAAGAGAAAAAAAAAAATTTACTACATTTCAAAGACTTTCATATAAAAACTAAAGAAAACAATACAAATCAAGCTATAATTAATAAGAACAGTTATTAACAAAAACGTTAGATAACATTTGTAATGTTTAAGTTACTAGAATTTATGGAAAAATAATATATTACAAAGTATTGGTTATGAGGTTTTACAACTTTTTAATAGGGAATAGTTTGTCCAAATTTAACTAACTAAGCTAAGACTTTTTAGATTACTAATACAAATTAAACGTTTTAAAATGAGTATTTAGGTGTCCTCAAAGTCTTTCCTACATTCTAAAATGAAACTTTCTAAGTTGTAGCCTCCCTGTTTTTATTGGTTATATTAAGATAAATTGAGATTAAAATCTTATTTGATTTATTTACCTTTGCAAATGAAGACCGTTTTAAGGGTTACACATCCTCTGCCTCTGAAGAAAGCGACCTCAATTAGTCAAGTCAGAAAGTCTTTAAAAGCTTTGTGTTTATTGCTTCCAGCACGGAGCGAGGTGGTCATTAACGTACCAAAATTCTCATAAAAATTCCAAAGTTGCACTAGTGAAAAAACGCTCAACAAGATGAAAACTAGTCACATCTTTTTCAGAAAATTCATTAGCTATTTTAAACCATTTTTAACAAAAGTATTTTGATTTAATGTGGCACTCAAGCAGATCCATACCATTTGGATACTTTAAACAGCATTTATATCTACTGTGAGTATATATATATACATTTAGGTTTATACCATTTTTTTTTAAAGAAGTTGCGCAATGTTTAATATGAGCCTTTTATGCTGATCATTGTTAGACATTTCTCCCTGTTTACTACTATTTATGAAGTTTTAGTATAAGATAAAGCATAAAATTAATCTCACACACACTGAATTTCTTTCAAAAGTTTATTTAGTATCAAGCAAGGGCAAAACTTTGCTTAACACTACAGAACATTTCAAGACTTGAGTTACAAAATACCACATTATTTGCATTTGTAATTTGCTTCCCTTTTTACGCATGTTTGCAAAGAGAAAATCTAGCAAATGGCTGAAAATAAAAACTAAAAACTAAATTGTTGAAAACCTTTAAAATAAAAGGTTACGCTTATGTTAAAAGAACGGACTAACATATTTAGTAAACCTATTTTTTGTTTAACACTAGTTAATCAAAGGTTATTTTTTTGATCACCTATTTTTTCAAATACAGTTTGGAAATAACAAAGTTCCTTGTTTTACATATCTTTCTGTCCAGGTTGTTCTTTCAACAAAATATTTTAAGTTCAGTCCATCCATTCAGATTTTTATGCACTTTGATTTAATAAAAAGGGATTGTTCATAGAAAAAATTACTTTGAACAGTATACAGGACTGGTGGAGATTGGATATTTCACAACATCAGACAGTACAATCAGTATCTGGCATATGGCTGGTCTCTGTAGACTCCTTTTGACGTTCTTGCAGAAGGTGCCTTGTGTCGTGAGTTGGTCCATTCTTCTTGCCCTACAAGAAAAGAAAATATCGTTAGACACCTTTCTGTTCTTAGATGCTGTACTTATTTTTTCCTTAAACTGTGAATTAGACAGTGACATTTTATTTAATGAAACCAAGGTGTACAAAGTGAAATCTAACACTTGTACCGAAAAATCTGGGTATAACATTTATATGAGCTATCTCATAATACTTTTTCAGCACATAACAGCATGGAGTGTGACAAGCTAGTGGCAAAAATATTTAGGGCTCTGACATTCAGCTGGACCTGTCTGTTACAGATACTATAGCTGACACTTCTGTGTAGCAGACCTACAAATAATTATGCTAGGATGAAACGAATGGAGGATGTGAATTACATAAGCAAATCAGCTACCCTCAGAAATAAGTTTCTTTGCATCAGTACTAATTTAGGCTTAATTCAAATATGCAATCCAGTAACAAAAAGCCTCAAGTACCTCTAGAAACACCTGTGGCTTCTAACAAGCTAGGGGAAATAACTTCACTGTGAACACACCCTCTAAAACGCAAGAAACAAAGGCAGGTTATAAAAAAAATTAAAATGTCAAGGGAAATTATTTTAAGCTTGCCAGCAAAAGAAATTTGTGAAAAACTTGTGATGTATTTAATGCTTCATAATCCTACCACATGTTGATGGTAAGAAATATTATCAAAAAGTAGTGAAGAATTGTCTTAACTTAAATGACCTACTGTGCCAGGCATTTACAGCAAGAGGGAAAACACAAGACCAAATGCAGAGTATAATGTAACAGTACTCAGGTACACTTTAATCAAGCCAAGACAAGAGTACTGTCTCACCTCAGGAAAAAAAAAAAATATCAGAAAGCAGACACACCTAGAAGCAGTGCATGTGCTTCCATATCTACTCTTGGAGAATTACTCTGCTCTAAGCAGTCAGGCATCCAAGTGAACCCAATGCAATCCAGAACTTAAGGGTGGAATCCAATGTATGGTAAGCTAAATGTAGACAGCACTTTGTCTTTCTAATCCATTAAAAAGAAATAAATCAAAGTCAACAGACAAAGAACTCCATACTTTAAAAGGCAAAGTAACTTGCTCAGACAGAAGATATCTGAAATTACATGACAAGTCCCTTAAGTCATGGGTCCAATTTCACAATCTCTTCATAGAAGTTTTCTCCTAGCTACTTTATTTTTTAAAATGTAGGTGGTTGCCTGCAGAGCCTATGTCATATATCATACCTAGATGTCACAACACTTGCCTAGGAGGTAAAAGGAACAAGTTCTAATTTGGTGTATGGCTGAAAGAATTAAAACTTGTACCTCATCAGGCAAGTCCTACAGGAATCTGATAACAGAATAACATACATGAGAAGCAACCGCTTATGCTTCTTCATCACACAAAAAGCAAGGCTTATACTAAGCAAGGAAACGAACCCTAGCCTAACAGTAAAGGCAGCTGGCTGAGTGGTAAGAGTTAAAGATATCTTAGCTCTTAAGCACCACTGCAAGGAACTGTTTAAAAATAAAAAGCAGTCTTCTTTACAGTTTAAGGGGAATACTTGCTCCTTTTCAAGCAATTGGTCAAATCACTAGTGTAAAGAGTCATCTTTTCATCAAGTTTTCATTTTGGTGCCATTCAGGGTTCCAAATTCTAAAAATACTGACATTCTTCCTACATCCTCTAGATTGGCACCTGAGCTTCTCAGAGAAGGAAAAGTTCAGGTACTTCCTGGGAATCTGTTTCTTCCTGGCCAGCACTAGGCAAGTACCTGCTCACTATCCAGTCTTACGAACTGTGCTTCCAAGGCACTAAATGTTCTTTACATATTGTAAGGATGTTTATTAGTATGTAAGTATGTATTTAAGAATGTCCTTCAGGGTCAGCTAGTTAAGAAAGTGTACAACTATTTGTATGTGCAAAAACTTCCGTGGCTCTAACAATCATTCAAGGTATTTATAGTCATCTTGAGTAAATACATCCCTTAACATTCCGAGCGGCTGTGCTTTAATAAATAGAAAACCAATCTTAAATGCAAAAGCAATGAAAAAAAAAAATCTGTATTTTCAACCTTAAATACTTCAAATCGACATCTGTCACCATCAGTCAACTCTATCTACATTAAGCAGTTTCATATTTTTCCTCCATCAACTTTGCATTCATGAAATTTAGTCTTAAAAATATCAGGCTTAAAGGCAAACAGTTTATTTTAATGCTGAAATAAAGATTTAAGCTATATATCTACCAACACCACCTGAAAGTGCTGGGGGACAGAGGAATTTCAAGTGACCTCTTCTTTTGATGAACTGACTTTCCCCTTAAGCAAAATAATTAGCTTAAGCAGACAACACTGAGCAAACTTCTGTATTAGGTGCATTTATCACAACTTCGTTGAGGTCATTTTAGTTTTCAGCAGGAAGCACTTCCAAATGGAGTTCAAGAAATACACCGTGGAAAGTTTTAAGTAGATATCTAGAAAAAAGATCATCCACTACCCAAAATCACAACTCTTGTATTAGTTACTAACAACCCTCAAATGTTTGAGATTTGAGTGGGCTAGATTATATTTCTCTGATCTCTAGCCAGAGATTTTACTTTTATCTCTTAAGCAGAGGTGTCTTAACATGCTTTATGCTTCTAATCCATAACAGATATCTTTAATTAAACCTGTCACTACCACACTTCTAGCTTAAAAAAAGTGATCTTTACCACTGGCATATGTTTTTTGCTTCATTACGCATTATTTTGTCTCCATATGAGTAACCCACTGCCCCCATGTCTATTAGCTACCTAAACTACTTTCACAACCTTTACATAATGATTCCCTGCTTGATTTCATAAGACTGATGCATGGAAATAAATACCAAAAGAGCATACAAATCTAAAATGCACTCCATTAGGCACTGATTCAGCTGACAACTGCAACATATTCTTGTTGTACCAAGTTTCAACTCCAACTGGGCCACACGAGAAACATTTGTTTTCAGCTGCAAATAGCTCCGGAAAAGAGGTCCTACACCCTAATCTGTCTCAAGTCTCAAATGCAACAAAAGGGTACTTGCAGAATGATTTAGATTTTTTTTTTTATTTCTTTGATTTTAGTTTCACATGACTATGCTGCTAACAGACCACAGAGACCTCCTCTAGTATTTTTCTCAATAACCACAAGAGGAGCTCTGTGATGGTGCAAGAGTCCCTGAACAGCTGTTACCCACTGCAGAACTGAAGCTTGCCTTATGGAAGTTTGTTTTTGATTATATTTTTTCAAGAGTCTAATGGTGTAGTCATTCAGCTCAAAGCTACTCACCATAAGAGTCGTACGTTTCTTCACTTAGTCCGTGACCATAGTCATAGTAATCTGCTCCACTGCATGGGAGGAGGGAAGTAGGAAGAACAAGAACAAGGAATAAAGAAGTTACATTTTAAGAAGCAATGATTATTGTTACACATTCTACCTTTCAAAAGAAAGCTTTAAAGATATAGACATGCCCTAAGGAAAGAAAGGTAAGCATTCATGTGACAATGACAATTAACATCCTGCTTGTTCATTAATTAGAAAAGAAGCAACATTAACTATCATTCAGGATTTTTTGTCATCACTGAGCCCCTGTTCTCCAGGGGGAATGTGGATGTAGGAATATTATATTTAAAATTATAGTTAGGAAGGTTGAAGATCTTACAAGTGCCAACGAAGAAAAAGTAGGAGGCGTAGGTACTGAACCAACTCATCTGTCATATAAACTTCTCATTACCTACTGTTGTCCTGTATTTTGCCTTTGTATCCTTGAATTCACTGATGAAAAATGCAAAAAAAAGGACAAGCAACTTGCTGATCAGATGGTTACAAGCTGCTACACATGTGAAAGTTTGTGTCTTCAAAACACGACAAATGTGTGCATCTGTAAAGGCTGTCATTTGACCAGGCAGACAGGAGGTGACAATAAGAACTAAGTTAAAGCAGAAATCTGCAGTCATCAGGATTCAGAAGTATGTATGAATAACCATAACCATGGCCTAAAACTGTTTTCCATTTCATAATGGCACTTCTATTTGTATTAAGACCAGTGAGTGGAAACTGAAGAACAAGCTTTTTTACATACTTTTCCACTATGCTTTCATATTTCATGCAAGTATAGCTATGTATAGTCTTTTACATAGTTGACAGAGTAAAAGTTTATCAGACATGTTTGTAGGACATCAAAAGCAAGTCTTTTAATGTTTCTTTCTGCAAGTTTCTTTTCTTTCTAACCACAGCCGGACCCAGGGTTGACAATATTTGGAAAATATTCTACAAACTGATGCTACCAGGTCACTATCTTCTGAGTGAGAAGGAAATCATTAATATATTATCACTAGCAAATGATTACTAATGTTGACAAAATGTTTCTAACATTAGATTGATTAAAATAAAAAACAGAGAAAAATCAATTATACCCTTAACATGAATTAGCAGATAAAGCATTTATATTAAACAACACATAACTAACTTCTAAACTGACAAAAGACAAAGGTAATTTGTTATGCTTGGGTTGCTTGTGTTTCAGTTTGGTGGGGTTTTTTGGGTTGGTTTGTTTGTTTTTGTTTGTTTGTTTGTTTGTTAAAAAAAAGTTTTTGTTTGTTTTTGTCATTGTTGGGTTGTTCTTTTTAGCTAAAAAGTTTTATATCCCACAAAATAAACCAGGCCAACAACAATACATTTCTGGTGTGTGCAAATGCATATCCAAAAAGTGTGGATGAGGACTCATTATTGCTAGTATAAGGCTTCCTAAACAAAAACTTAACCAGAAAGCACTACAAAGACCCACAAAAAAGTACCCACGTACAACCTAAATGTTAATCTATAGTCTGTCAGTCCTTGCAACAAGGACCCCAGAAAATCAAGGGCAAAGTTTGAAGCATAACAAATAACATAATTTTGCCCTGCAGCAGCCAGTGACAAAAGTGTTTTTTCTGACAACCAACTTAAAGCTGACATTCACTATCCTTCCACACAGTACTCGATTATTTAAAGGCTGCCATCAAGTTTAGAAGCCTATAGCAGCTGAGCCCTATCCCCATATCTGTTAATCCTGTCAGAATGACTTGTGCAAGGTTTCATTTCATAGATCTAAAATATCTATTAAATAAAGTCACTAATTTTACAGCATGTAAACTGCAATACAAATAATCATCAGAAAGGAAAAAACTTCTACTTAAAGATGGGTCATGACCTTTCCAGTATCAAACCCTTCAAAATTCATAATCTTTCCCAAAAGCACAAGTTATAATGGGAATTCAGTACTGCCCACTGACTGCTTTAGTTTGTTGTCTACGAACAAAGCCAACACTCTCTCAATTGAATTGTATGTTAAACAAAAGCAAAACTTGGAGTAAGACAACTTAAAGACTATGACCCAAAGAAGAAGATACAGGCATGGTTGTAAGGAATTCTTAGTAAAAAGGAAAGCTTTAAAAATATTTTTTTTGTTTCATCTGTAACAAGCCAAATACCCCATGGAGTTCAGAACCAAGACCAAAGATAAATGAGGGGAGGAATTACAGAAAAATCCAGTACTGTATATGAAGTTACAGCTTACAGAACTGTATTTTTTTTTTCCAAAGCAATCACCAGTTAAAAAGGAAACCTAGTCAAAAGAAACCTGCAATACCAAACCTCCTCTTGAACTGTACATCTGAACTCATTAACTGAAGTAGTTGAGTTCTATCCTGTTTTGAGAAATTAAGTAGTTATATTAAATAATTCTTCCTCTGGACAGAAGGTATGACATCTTTGTTTTAAAAGCATCCTTGACATTTATACCTTATGTAGGTTCTCTGGCATCTTTGGCACCTTGACTGAAGAGTATTCAAAATCTGTATTTCCCTTCAATGGATTTACTCTACAAGTGAAGCCCTTTTCTTCCCATTTCTTTTTGTCTCACATAAAGGACAACAAAACCACAAAACAGGTTCATTTTCTTCTTTACGGCACGTGCCTCCTTCCTTTCAGAGTAAGAACATGACATGGGTACTTTCTAACCCAGCAAGACTAAACCTGGAGTCTGCTTTGAGTTCCTGTTTTCACATGTAAAATGTCTTCTTGAGGCCATTTCTTAAATTTTAATTTTTCCTTCTCCAGGTGTCTACTTTGTAGATGGATAATTGCATTACCTGGTATAGTCAGCTGAGTCTTCAAGCATCTTCCTAACCATCAACTAACAGTATAAGTACAAGTACACTCAACACTGGAGTATCAGCTGTGATTCAGATCTTTTATACATATAGAACCCTTGCATCTATCTCCTCATATTTAATTTATTTTGTATTCCCATTCCAGCACAGAGTCTTTGGGCTGACAAGAGAAAAGACAGAGATGGCAAAGAAAAAAGTGCTTTGATTTTCCATGTCAATAAAAACTTGGAACCACCTAATGGTATGGAAGGATCAGCAAACAATAAATTCAAGTATGTCACTTAACTGCTGAGGGCTGGGCATTAATCCTACAATGGTTAGAGAAGCATGAAGTGCAGTTTACTAATCTAAATAAGGTTGGGGGAAGTGACTGTTCAAGAAACAGCCTGAGATAGAGAAGAGCACCCTCAGATTTTAGTACTGCATCACTGATGGAAGTAAGGCCTTAGAGGAGCTTTTTTATCTAGTAAAACAAGAGGACTGGGAAGCTTCCTGAAATTTTTCTAGAACCACTGTGCTGTGAGAAGGTTCTTAAAATACTGCAATTTAGAGGTATTCAACATAAGCCTTCAAAAGGTCTTGCGGAATATGACCTGAATTTCTCAGGCTTTTCTGATAAGCCGATTGTTTCTGAAAAAGTCTTGATGAACCATAACAGAAGAACAAATCTGTATGACACAAACAAATAGAAGTAACTAATCTTGACATGGTTTATGTCTTAAGGAACTCTTATGTTTTATACTATATTAGCTATTAGCTTATTTTGTCTAGAGATGTTGGAATATTCTCTTGGGACAGTTATCAACAGAATGGTAGTTTCAACCTAACACTCATGAAGATATCAGAATCGGTCATTAGGGTATTTTTGGGACAATCCTAGAACAGGCATGTCAACCACACAGTGCAAGTGTTCTGTAGTATTTCCAGAAAATGCATAAAAGTAGTTAAAATATATTGTGATTAATCAATGTGATTGCAATGGCTCTTTAAATTTGATGCAGGCATCTTTCAGAATCAGCATTATGCCATTTCTGTGTGTGAAACAGAAGTAGTATGGCAGGGAGCCTGACTGGTAATGGGACAATAAGAGGTCTGACTGAAAGCTGCTAGTTTACTGGAAAAGCCCAGATAAGCACTGACAATGCTGGTTACCCGGCTTAAACACTGAATGAACAGAAGCTTTCTTCATCTTCAGTGATAAAAAAACACAAAACAGCCTTCACTACCAGTTCAACTTCTTTTAATGCTTACTAGGGAAAAATAAAAAAAAAAAATAAAAATTCCCTTTTGTACATTAGTATCACTAAAGGGACTGACTGCTTTAGTCTGAAGCCAGGGCAGTTTCACCAAGTGACAAAAACCCCCTACCAAACAAAAGTTTCCTTTTGTGCTAGGAGTAGCTCCACAAGCGTCACCTTTGTCCTTCTACATAGAGGTTGCACAGAACAGCAAAGTAGGATGAAGATCTCTAGCCAGAGGTCTTATGATAGATCCTGACTGATAAAATCACATCTGGACAGAACTCTTACACAAGGACAAGCCTCTTTCTATCATTCCTATCAGGTCTTCACGCTCATCTGCTTCTGATATTAAAAATCATCCATCAACAGTAAGCGGAAGAAGTGCCCCAAACGTTATTGTCAAGACAACAATCACTGTAGTGAAGCTTCCCATAACTCCCTAATTGTCTTGAACATTGAGTTGAGTATCTGTTCTTAACGCTTCTGTGGATCACTGAGCACCATATTCTGTAATCCAGTTTACAGCAGGATAGCATAAAACTAGGATAGCAAGATGATATCCACATCTTTTTCGGCATCTTGCAGACAGATTTTTATTTAATGCCCAGTTCTGCCACTTAGAAGTTTTATTACATAGTCTCATCCTTGCATATCAGTTTGTAAAACAGATAATGATCTCAGAAAGCAACTGAGACCTATATGTGAAAGCATTATAAAATTCAGAAAAATGATGCAATCTTCCTTAAATGATATCCCATTGTACTCATATGGATAATACAAATAGCAAAACTATTACCTAGAATCCTAAAAGATGACCAGAGTGCCCTCTCAAGGATTCCCTTCGCTATCACTTTCTAGAAGTTACTTAGGGCAGAAATTGTAATAAATTGCACTTCTCAATAGTGAAATGCCCTTAGAGGCATCTGCATTCTGGTGCTTCCTACCAGGCACAGA